TAAAAAAAAAAAAAAAAAAAAAAAAAAGAGAGTAGTTTGCCCTGGTTACAAGATTTGCAAACTTTCAGAAAACTTTACACATGTGAATTTCCCTACAGGAAACCAAAGGGAACCAACCACATGTTTATTCTCTCTGCCCTTTCCTCCTATGAGTTCTTCAGAGTTCTTTTACAGGAAAGAGTTGCTTCAGTAGCACTGAAGCATTTGACTGATCATAGTAGCAGCATCACTAAAGATAATGCCAGCTTGTACTGAAAAGAAGGGCACAGCTGCTCCCACTCGTTTTTTTCTCACGAGCAGGAAGAAGTCTGCAGGCACTGCTATTAGCAGTAATACTGATAGTGTGTATATACCAAGGATGTGACCCATTCTTGATGCTGCCTGTGCTTTCCTCCTGAGGTCTTACTTAACCTTTACTGCTACAGCTCTCGAAGCACACCGCTGGCCAGCTCGACTGTGTAATCGGCGTTCTGTTGCTTACTAATGACAACTCCCAAACAGACCAAACATTCACTTTTGCATTATTCTCTCACGTATAGTATAAGGAATATAAGGCACCTGACTCAGGCATATGTATTCCTCTCCATAGGCTGCAGACTGAACACCACTGAGTGCCCAAGACTTTTGCTGGATCTAGATACAAGATGTTAAGTAGAGAATAAAACACAGTAAGTTATAAAGTGAGATAACTTGCTCTTAAGAGTATCTTCCTATTTAAACATCCTAGCAAGCTGCTGCTGTAGTTACCAGACACAGATGAAGAAAGATACATTGTAAAATCTGTGTGAGATTATAAAGACAGTAGTTCTATAGGCAAATTAGGCTCTGCTACCAATATGAACTTGGTTGCAGAAAAATACAGGAGATACGATGTAACTACTGAACAAGTAAAGTAGACCTGAAGCAAATACCAACTTTTCTGTTAATATGACTATAAATACTGAATCTGAATTCAAACAAAAATAATTGCTAGGATGGAATGACAAAATAAATACAATAAAAAAGGAATTACCTCCTTTAGAATATTGTTTTCTGTGTTGTTATCTATGTTGCATTATCACTCAGCAGAATGGACCAGTTTAAATTGGAAGGGAAAGAACTTAACAAACCTATTTCCAGTTCCAAAGATCCTCAAGCAGTATTGCCCCATTTTAAACGTCATCATCAGACAACACACCGTGAGTCATTGCCTAAATGGCACCCAAATCAAAACACCTGTTAGTGAGTACCCATGGAATGTGAAGATGCTTGTAAAGAACAAGATTATAATTAAAGATGCATTAATTCTAACAGAAAGACAAGAAATGGAACAGATGGTTTACATATTTGTGGGCAGTTATGTTTTTGTGTAATGGCAACGGAGATTTGTAAACAATCACTGTATAATTTAGGCTGGAAGGGACCTTTGGAGTCCTTTCCTGACCTCTAGGCCAACATCCCTTCTCAAAGCAGGAGTAGCTACAAAGTTAGATCATCCTGGTGAAGGCAAATAATGCCAACATTTGGTTCCTTAAAAGTCACCTGAAATAAAATGTGGAATAATATTCCTCTATATATTTTTCATATGGAACGAATTTAATGTGGGTTTCATAGAACTGGTATTTTATGGCACCTACATATACACAAAGTAAGGATCATTCATATGTATAACAAAGGAGCCTGGCAGGTGGACAAAAAATTCCTTTTATTCCGGCCTGACTCCATTAAATCAATGACAAAACACACAAAGATATGTGAAACCTAACTTATTCATGTTGCTTCATTAGGAACTGATCAGCAATCACTATGTTTTCCCTTCATTTCCCAGCAGTTTTCAATAGAAAGCAAAACATATTTTGTTTTCATTTCTTAGCTATTGAGTATGTAAACAGAAACAGATTGTGAGAATCATTAATGTACACCTTTAACATGCAACAGTGAGTAAGACTCAACTGAAACTCATAATGCTGCTATTTATATCTAGCTAAATAGTTCATTGTTGCCTACTCCCAGTGAAGAATTAATTTGATTAATTATGCGAGAAGCTGATTCATTCATCTGAAGCCTGTCTCGAAATATTACAAGATACAAGTACTACATCTGATGGCACTTAATGTTTTCCAGATACAATTTTAATTTATATGTTTGTGGGGGCAAAAAATCACTCTTACCTGGATATAATTGTCCTTTCATGCCCTCTTCACCTACTAATATTTGTCTTCTACAACAGCTGTATACATTTATAAATATACTAGACTGCTTTTAAACTCTTGTCTGAATAACTGAAGTGTGCTGACAGCTGTCCTATTTTTCCTTCACAGTAAGTAAAACTCTGGTTTACTTTGCTGATTTCCTATTTTAATTACAACTTTAAATTCCTAAGTCATATTTTGGACTATCAAAATAATCTTTTATTGATAAAACAAGTGACTGGACATTAGGAACTCCTAGCTCTAAGTCTGCTGCTTAGTATTTACGTTGAATAAAATTTTTTGTGTTTGCTACTTTGTTGTAGCCCTTGGTACAACATCTTGGTCTTAAAAGGGAGGGCAATACCATTTTAAAAGATTCACAATATGTATATATGGAGATTTCTTATGAACATAAATCAGATCAGAAGATTTCTTTTTAATATATTAATAGTGCCAACAACCATTTGTTCACTCGGCTAGATTTTCACCCCTCTGCAAGTTGTAGTAATAATAATAGTAATAAGTAATACTTATTCTGTTAAGTATTGTCATTTATCAAAGAGGAGTGCCTCCTATTCAAAAGGCAGTAGGATGATGATTCTCAATGATTCCCTTTTTTCCTGTTGGAAATACTGAAAGAGAGGTTAATGGCTTTTGTCAGTACTATCTTGGCATGTGACAGGATAGGCTCCATCTATGTTTGATACATAAATTTAGCTATTTATGACTAAGGATCACCCCTAATTTAGTGCTGAATCATGAAGTAAATTGGTCAGGAAGTAAAACAAAAATATAAGGACAATAATACAATAATCCCGTGCGGTTTGGCAATTGGAGCAGCATTTAGGTTGTTTACTTTTAGGCAAGAAGATGTTTCGCCCTTAATCTGAACAGAAAGCTCCTGTTAATGCTGTTGGAATGTCAACTTCTGAGACAAAGGCAGTCCAGTCCTCAGTGCAAGACACCCGTGTGTCACCCAGTATTCAGGAACTCCCAGAACTGAAACTAGCATTAACTGCTGTTTATTGACAAGTACTCTTTTATACCTTGGTAAGAAGAAGAGTTCTTGCTGTACAGTTTTATATTAAAATCCTTTCAATAAGGATTTAATCGATTTTCTGTGTTACACTGCATAATTTCAAGCATCAGAGTTAAGAGAGTCATCCACAGATACACATTATAACATAACCTAGTCTGTTGGCTAATTTATGAAATCTGACATATTATTGCAATAAAGTATCAAATATCTTCGAGGTTCATGGGTAACACAGTGCTGTGTGGTGTAGGTACAGCAGGCCAGATTCCCTGCCCATACAAGTCACCGTGGCTTCAGAAAAGTGATTTTATATTCTCAGTAAACCTGTGTGTCTATTACATCTGACCTAGACCACAGTTTCTTTCCTAGCTTTCTGAAGAGAAATACTTCTGATTTGTACTAAAATACAGGATTTCTCTATCCCCAACAAAATTATTTTTGTGGTATGACTGGATATTCTTCACCAGTTTTACCTAGGGAATTAATTTTTCTCAGTGATTCCAAATTCAATTTGATAATTTCATAGTAATAAAGTCTCAATAACTCCAGTTCTGAAGCTCTATCTTTGTTTTTCCATCAATGAAGTGTGTTAAGGAGGTTTAAATTTACAAAGACATTTTGGTAAAATTAAAATCAATATTGTATGTGTGTTCTTCTGTTTTTTCTCTTTATTGTATTTGTTACATGAGCTAGTTCTTAAATCACTCTGATTTCTCAGGGAAAAAAGTAAGCATAACATGCATATAAAATAGGAAGTTGGATGATAGCACTGATGGGGAAAAAAAGTAGAGATCCTAAAGCCTATCTGATTCCATAAGAAGTATAATTACCAGTGGCCTCACCAGTGCTGAGTGGGGGGAAACAATCACTTGCCTTGGTTTACTGACCACACTGTGCCTAAAGTAGCTCAGGATGTTCTTGGCCTTCACTGCTGCACAGGAGTTTGCGTTTGCCTCTGTCGAGCTCCATGATTTTTCCACTGGCTCATTCCTCTCATTTGCTGGGATCCCTGTGAATGGCAGCTCAGCCCTCCAGCATATCAGCCACCTCCCCCACATCCAGAAACCCAAGTGTATGTTCCAGCTCATTGACAAGGTCAATAATAAAAATGTTAAATGGCACTGGCCCTATAGTACTGATGCTGGAGGAATGCCACTAGTAACCAGCTTTTGGTTAGACTTTGTGGTGGTTTGGCCTTGGCTGGATGTCATGTGCCCACCAAAGCTGCTTTATCGCTCCCCTCCTCAGCTGGATGGGGGAGAGAAAATATAGCGAAAGGCTCATGAGTTGAGATAAGAATAGGGAGAGATAGTTCAGCTGCCATCATGGGCAAAACAGACTCAACTTGGGGAAGACTAATTTAATTTATTTCCAATCAAATCAGCATAGAATAATGAGAAATAAAAACTAAATCTTAAAACACCTTCCCCCCACCCCTTCCTTCTTCTCAGGTTCAATTTCACTCCCAATTTCTCTACCTTCTCCCTCCATGCGACACAGGGGCATGGGGAAGGGGGTGTGCGGTCAGTTCACCACATATTGTTTCTGCTGCTCCTTCCTCCCCAGGAGGAGGACTTCTCACACTCTTCCCCTGCTCCAGCATGGGGTCCCTCCCACAAGAGACAGTCCTCCATGAACTTCCCGAACGTGAGTCCTCCCCACAGGCTGCAGCTCCTCATGAACTGCTCCAGCGTGGGTCCCTTCATTGGGGTGCAGTCCTTCAGGAACAACTGCTCT